GTGTGTGTGTGTGTGTGTGTGTGTGTGTGTGTGTGTGTGTGTGTGTGCGTGTGTGTTTGTGTCTGTGCGTATGCGTGTGTCTATGTACCCGTATGCAAAAGTTAGTTGTTACTTATTCAACCGTGACCAACGGACCTGTAAAGGGCCCAAAACGTCGGTTTGTTGGAAAAAACAAATATACTTACGCTATTTAAATCCGGAAAAATAGTTTTAATTACTATTACTTGTTTTTAAATTTGACGACCTCACTGGCTTAAAAGTCTACATTGTGGGCTGGATGCGGAGGTCCCGGGTTCGATTTCCGTTAGGACCTAAATTGGGAAATGAACTTTTCGAAATCTGTTTTGGTCTGCCCCTAAATTTCGTTGCTCTGGTACTAATAGTATAGCGATTCCTTAAATTAAGACCAGGCAATTGATGTGCTTGCCTGGCATATAGATACGTTTTTCAGAATCTATTTATAAATAATATATTGTATTTGTGAAGCTTGTAGCTATTTTCACTACTGTAGTGCTAAGTAAATTAAGTTTTCATACACCCATAAAGAGCTTTCAACACGTCAACACAGTATTATACGAGATGTATAGGAGTATTTCTTTTTCTGCAGCAAATTACGTGTTCGTTGTCAAATTTAAGTAACTGAGAATGGAATGAAAAACAAATGGCGTTTGCTTTTTTCAATGTGAAGTTATCTTCACCAGCGTATGTTGTGTTTATTTTCTGTTAAAACCTTCATTTATAATTTTAATTAATCCATTCATCAGGGATTAATCTTAACATTTTTTTCAGCGACAGCTGACAAAAATCATTACTGACTGAGCAGACATCACAGTAACTGATGTTTCTATTACAATTGACCCTCTCCAACGTCAACTTCTTCCAAGGGATTCTGTCTGAACCCTTGTCAAAATATACAAAAATGCTGTGTGTCATGGTAAATCGGCGATAGTTAACGTAGTACTTTTAATGTTTCTTTCTATTCTTATATAAGAAAATAAATAATATATCTTCACTTTATGCTGTCTTTAGATACGAATGCTAGTTAAAATTGATTAGATATCTTTTGCAACTCAACTATGATGAGACTGAAAATCTGCTTGAAATCGTCAAATAACTTCACGTGTACACACTTACACATACTCACGCACGCGCGCACACTCACACACAAACACACGCACACACGCATAAAAATTCTTTTAGTTACTATTTAGGTGTAAATTACATATATCCTCAATACTCTTATAGTCAATACCAGTAACGTGACATCCTAGGGGTTTGGTTGCCTGGAGACCCATATTACAAGATCTGCTTGGTTTGGGCTCCCACATATTTGTTTTTATATATTTTTTGTATTGTGGAGATATTATTATAATATATTATTATAATATATAAGATATTATTATTATATAATGTAATAATAATATGAAGAATCATTTTTACGGTAAATTGCATTACAATTAGAATAAGGTTATGATAGGGCTGGCATGTTCTCTAGAACAAATGTCCTAAAATTAAATAAAGATTTAAAAAAAAATTAAGAACAATTAAAAAAAACCATATCATGTTTAAAAACCCGTGGTACCCTAATTGTTTGGCCTACCGCCTCTCAAGCATAGGTCGTGGTCTCAATCTAGGCATACACCTCGGAGTTTTTCGGAATTTATTTATTCGAAAGTTTACCTTGAGCTTTTCGGGGAAGGAAAACATTGTGAGCGAACTTGCACACATTTGCAATGTGCGTGAATTTTCCAATCGCGTGGGAACTACAGCCCTCATTGTGAAAGGAGAGGCCTGTGCCCAGCAGTGGAACTATATACACGCTACCTATTATAAATCCTGTTTCAATTCCACTAACATATACATAACGATCATGACTTTTCGTTTCATTTTTTTTCTAATACCCAGTGAAGGGACGAACAAGTCGTGCGCCATTTTCAGTGGCCCTCAAAGCTTTAAATCGCACAGATCTTATGGCTGCCGCCCTCTAACTAAAACGCGGCGAAGTGACAAAATAATTTTTTGAGACGTCATAAAAAACCATAACCCAATTCTATAATATTGAAATTGTTTATTGGTATTTCAACTAGGCATCGTTAGGGTAGGTTCCGATAACACGTTAACTAATTTTAACTGTTTTTAAAAGACAATTTTGTGCTCTATTTTTTTTCTATTTAAAACGCATATTTGACAACAGACACAGTGGACAACAGATGGGCACTGGCTATTGCGCCCGTCACTTCCACCACCACTTCAAATCCCTTGTGCCTGTAATTTCTCCAGCACCCTTAACCGCAAACGGCAAAAATAGATATAGTGGCAGTACTTCCCTGGACGAAGGAGCTATATTACTACTAAATTTCCATTAATTTGAACGTTGTAGTTGTGTTTACCGAAACGTGGTACATAGATTTTGAATACAAACGTTGTAAAATACCATCGAATTAATGTTGTCGACAGTCTCTTATACCTTAATCCACCACGAGAATAGAGATACTATCACCAACCATTACAGTTACGTCTCGTCATTTATCTTAACCCCTATCTTAAAGCCGATATGGCCCGAATTAAAGTCCCGAATGGGCCGAACTGAATATCAGTGTTATTTACATTCCTTTCTAACATAACCGATTTAATAAAAAGATATTCGATGTGTTTTGTGATAAAACTGTCAATGTATTTATTTATTCAACTAAAAACATGTGTGTGAAAAAGTAGACAATCTAAAGTAAAGCAGCTGCATAATCACTCTTATTCAATATGATTTGAATAAAAATGTTGATTCTCCCTGGATCTCTCCGCTGATCTAACATCTGCTTTTGTCTTAAAAGCAGATGTTAGACACACTTAGGCACACTTATTATTTTTACTTATATTATTCATTAACTATTAATTCGTAGGTAATTGTTTGTTGGTGTTTGAAAGTGTAATTAAAATTTCGTACAAATTAATTACAGCTAATATTAATGAATTATACTAAATCATAATGAATTAGTACAGTTACAAAAAGTGACAAGAGTATTAAATTCAAAATAAAATACTACAAATCTAGAACAACGAACTTATAACGATCAACAATAATAATTTATTACATATTCACAGTAAATTTAAAATTCTTTTACAGATACATTGATTTAAACTTTCATGATTTTCACATATTATTTGATTTCAAAATCGACACTTAAGTAATCGTGTATAAAACGTATTTTATTTATCGGACGTGTTGCAAAGTCTTTTACAGAGTAGCATCATTTTTCCAATAATAAAGCTGTGTCTTTTTTTAGTGTTCATTTTGTAATAATTTTAATTTTCACAGGTAACTTATGATAAAATTAATATAGCAGTAAATTTATTAATAGCTCTATGCCTAAATTATAATAATAACGTGTCACAACACGATGAGTAGTGGAACATCGAAATTCACTCCAGGGCATTATCAGCACACTTAGACTAGTACCAATTTCGAATAATTTCCCAAATTGATCCTACTAAGGAATACCTTCTCATCCAGCGCCCACAGTGTAAACTATTAAACCAGCGAGGTGCAAAAAAAAAATTTCCTCGACCCGAGTGGATTCGAACCAGAATTTGGCGCTTCAGTGTGGCTACTGCTCTGCCAACTAAGCTGCAAATCGATTCCACCATCTTGGATTTAGAAATAAGTGCCATATTCGTAATGAACACCCCCAAATACCTCGAAAACGATACCCAACATGCCATTATTTGAAAAGTCGTGTCAAAAGTTTGAAAAATCGAGGACTACTACAAGTTTAGTAACCTCCTTTAGTTCCTGAGATAATTTTTGGTCACAAAAACATATTATACATCATATCTCTTAGAGGATGGAAAAAAATTATATCTACACAAAAATTATCCCCAATCACTGGGCCAGTGCAAGAATTGCTGCTGAAAAGAATATCTCTCAAACTGTAAGTAAAATAAGTAACGAACTAAAGTTTCATTATATTTATTTAAAGCAAAATGACCGTTTACATTAATTACATTTACAAGTAATAATATAGAAAAATCCTGACTACTAACATAAATAATAGCAAAATATAAAAAATTAGATGACCTGAGGTTCGAATTCCAGACAATCTGTAGTCATACTTAGAGCGGATAATAGATATTTTTATCTAATTGAAAGATTGTATCTGAAAAGTCATATGAATTTTATAAATCGCGTATACAATAAAAGTATAAGTTTTGGCTGCCAATTTTGCGAGTAACGTAATAAACTATTATTGCGCCTTACCAACGCCATCTATTGGCTATAAGATTACATAAAATCGTGACGATCCCCCTTAAGACTATTTGTATTGGTAATAATTTTAAGTGATTTAGACTTTGACTTTTGAATTTATTTGTTTCAGATCGCTGCTCTTAGCAGCTATCGTATTAAGTAATTGCATCACATGGACAGCTTCTAGGCATCACTATACACACAATGTAAGTAAATATTACATTAGAAATATAGTTGTTGTTTGACGAGAGTGTTTGTATTTATGTTTGTGATGAGTAATTGTAAGGCACGAGACACAAATCGACCTTGCTGCCGAACGAAACACACAACATTTCACCTCACTATAGCGAGGTAAAAATGGTAGAAGAAAGATAAACAGTTGAACTATAACAAAATAATTTAATCGCGTAGTTGAACGTGTCTTTATATTTTTTTTTCATCGAATGAAAAACTTAGGTGCACCACAGTCCATTCTCAAGTTCGAATTTCAAAATCCTTTTCCACGGTAGCGTAAAAAAACTGATTTTGCGCGTACATTTCTAATGAGGAGAAAAGCCTTTCCGAGCCAGTGAGCTGAAAAATATATTATATACAGGGTAATTTTTAAAATACGTGGGGCGCACTATAAGTTTCCGGAATGAATAAGAAAAAAATATTATAAATGGTCAGAAATGAATTTATTGTTTCTCAAAATATTCTCCGTTATATATTATAATTCTCCGTTAGCGTTAATGCACTTTTTATACGAATGAACCAATTTTGAAAACATTTATGCCACTCCTCCATGACAATTTTTGAAACATATTTTTCGTACTCTTCGAGAGCCTCTTCAGATAATGAAAATCGTTGACCGCGTAACTGATTCTTAATTTTTGGAAATAAATAAGAGTCACAAGGTGCCAGGTCAGTACTGTACGCGGGATGGCTCATAAGGTCAACGTTGTTCACCTTCAAAAATTCGTTTGTCTGTCTGGCCGTGTGAGAACTGGCATTATCGTGGTGCAAGATGATACGGCGTTTACGATTATTTTTACGGAGTTTGTCAATAACTTCCGGTAAACAAATGGTCGTGTACCAATCACTATTCACGATACGACGATTCTCCAAAGCAAAAGTAGCCACGTGGCCAGTTTTATGAAAAAAAGAAGCAATCATCCGCTTAGAGGCACTTTGCACGCGCGCCACTTTGGTTGGTTTCGGCTCATCTCGAGAGTCCCATACGCTCGATTACTGCTTTGTTTCCGGATCGTTAACTATAAATCCATGTTTCGTCATCTGTTACTATGTCCCACACCAAATTTGACGCCCCTTTGTTGAATCTGGTAAGCATGGCTTTGCAGTAAGTAACGCGATCCGTTTTTTGAGGCTCAGTTGAATTGTGTGGGGTCCACCGAGAACACAGCTTTGTCACACCCAAATGTTTGTGTAGTATTGATTGTATTTGACTCGTGCCTATGCCTTAAGATGTCCGAATCTCATGGCATGTCACATGCCTGTCTGTTTTGATTATACATCGCACAACATCGATGTTTTTGTTGTTCACAGAAGTGGACGGGCGATCATCACAAAATTCGTCACTGAGATTCACACGACCGCGTTTCAATTTTGCAAACCAGCTATTAATAGTCGTCTTACATGGTGCTTCACCGCTAAAAGCAGTTTGAAGCCGAGCGAAGCTCCGCTGAGCTATTAAATTACACTTAAAGTCGTAGAAAACAATACTACGAAAATTTTCACTGATAAATATAAATCCATGATAATGTAGACAACCAATTTCTAAAATGACGCCATAATGTAAAAACAAGTGACAGTCAGATGAAACAAACTGTAATCTACAGCCAAAGAGTTCCATTTTCAAATGTCCTAATTACTTTTTAAATATTGTTTATGTAAGTGGCTAGTTCCGTAATTATGTTTCATGCGCGAGGGGAGAAAAGCTGCCGCATAGAAGGCGAATTGCATCCACTGACAATGGTTTCTAGTACGCGGTTGGGGCTGGCACGTAAATTGCAGAGCAATGAGGCTGACTTTTTACGCATAATGGCATAAAAGTAATCCATATACATATACGCAATACGAGTTTACACGAAAACTGCCACAACGCGCAGCTGACGCGCGACAAATTCCCGCGCTCGGAACGTTTCTGCGGTCGCCTCTGTGTGGGCAGAGCCTAAGGGTAAATTAGGGGCTGAACCCGGTTTATTGGATTGCATCCGCTTTCCGTCAACTGATTTCAATAAAACTAGGCAAATTGATATACATAATTCCACAAACTTTTGAGATCGTTTTTTCTATAAATGAAAATTTTTATTTCCATTTTACGTTTGAACGTTTTGGTTACACAGATTTTAAGATTTTGCTTATTTACTAAATTATTATCACTAAGTATATGTCTCTTACCACGATACAAGTTTTTTTTCTCCGATGTTTCGGAACGGTTACACGCTACGTGGTCACTGGTTGACAATGGAGCATAAAGTGGTAAGAAACCAGTACCTAATAATTATGGATATTATCGTTGACTTACAAATAAATGGACGACGGGTCTAATACAAAAACCACGAAAAAAATGTCCCAAGTCAACCTATTTAAACATAGTGACATGTAAAGGAATATGAAAAAGCTAAAACGTTGAATTTAAATTGTAATGTCATCGCAGTACTGTACTTACCTAGTTAGTACTTAACTGCCTCCGTGGCCGAACGGTTACCATGCCGGACTGCCACGCAGAGGTCCCAGGTTGGATTCCCGGGCCGGGCGAAATATTTGTACGACCTACATTTATTTCTCTCGTGAGTTTGGGTGTAATATGTGGTTGTCTATGTGTGTGTCCATGGCACCCGCGACACAGGGTTTCCCTAGTGCGGGGCTATGTTGAGTGTGTGCGTTATTATTATTATTATTATTAGTACTGTCTAATTTTGCTTGCTTCGCTGTCAGTCGAACAAACGAAGACTAAAGCGTGAATGACGCTCTGTATACGATTTTAACGCCCTATAAGTTCGGACACTTTTTAGCGCGGACCTGACGTCCATATAATTGTAAGTCAATGGATATTATTGATTATTTATCTTTTGTTTTTGTTTCCTTTTTTTCTTTTGTGGTGTAATTTGCGGTATCTGATCCCCTAAAACGGATCTCCTGGTGGATTCTAATTTTCTACTCCCATCGGATCCCCTATGCAGGGGATCAAGAATATGTAATTATATTTTACTATCACTTGATACACTGGAACTTACAAGCATATTTTTGATAGGTATTGTGGTACTGTCAACAAGAAAATCTTTTCAAAGCTCTAAGAGATGACGCAAACATGCAAATTGTACATATTAATGAATGTAAATTACAGTTAACAAACCCGCAAACAAAGCGATGATTAACAAAAGAAATAGTAATCTATAAATGGCACAAATACGTTAATTAATGACTTACTAGGAATATCACAGTTGGTCACTGTTTAGAAAAAATAAGACTTTAAATATTACACAATTGATTTTGTTACTTGTTATTTGCAATATGTCAATATTAATTACTTGTCACAAATTTTGTTTTTTGGGTGTAATAATTATCATAACATTTGATCACAATTGCACAAAAAAATTTAAAACTTCTCTTTTCCTTGACTGTACTTACAAACCTTACACATACAATGAGGGGATCCGTTGGGAGTTGCAAAATATAGAGCGTATCAGTTGAGATGTAAAATTGGCGGTGGACAAGTTGTCGGGGATAAGATGAGAATAATCCCAAATTTGTGGTAAACAAATAAATGTATTTTCTTTCTTTCTTTATTCTTTCATGTAGTAATAAGAATGGTTACTTTCCGTTTAAATTGTGTTACGTCCATTGCTTGCGAAAGCGACGACATTAGTCAAATATATTTGACGTCTGTATCATATTGAGAGCATCGACCACTAGCGGCCTTGACACTGACCGGTGGCGGCGCCAGCGCAACTAATTGACCTACCGAATGACTCAGTAGTGATTGTCAAATTGATATGAAATTTTTATATTAATTATAATTAATTAAAAAGCTTTTGATGATGTTCTGTATAATGCATCATTGTGTAATATAATAAAATTGCGCCAGACAATTACTGGTGCTACTCCAAGTAAGATCCGGGTGCAATCATACCTTGGCGCTCTCTAATAGGAACACGATCAAAATGGAATACTTTATACTCAATACTCAATACTCAATATATTTATTGCATTCATATGGTAAACATGTCTTAAATTTAAAATAATGCTACACATATGAGCCCTTTATTAGGGATAACAATAACAGCAGAGGTAGGCCGAGGTTTCAATTATTAATTAAAATTGTTATTTATCAAATAATAATATTAAAAAAAAAATGTCATATAATAATAAAGAAATACGTCATATTATGAGTAGAATTATGTCACTTGAAAGTTTGAATTTTATTAGGTTACAGTAGCATAACTTTATAGTATATAATTAACATTTATTTATTAGTCAAATTTATTATAATATTATTACTTTTATTTGTCATCAAAGTATTCATTTAAATTGTAATAGCATTTATTAATAAGATGTAATTTTAATTTATTTAGAAACAGTGAATACTTTTCCTCGTTTTTACTTACTTACTTACTTCCCCAGTGATCGGACATTAGGGTGCAAATAACGCAATTGTAAATAGATACCTCCAATATACACTACACCTACTTAATTTTTGGCCCTGTTCTGTTTTCCGGTCATTCTCAGACGAAGTAGTGTTAACTAACCTAATTTTCGTGGCAATTTTTATTATTTAAGTATTCGATTTTTTGTCGTGCAATATTATTTCATATTCGAGTATTGTATCGTGAAATATTATGTAATAATAATTACATGATAATATACTTGAAAATTGAAATAATAAAAATTGCCACGGAAATTATGTAGTGAAAACTAGTCCGAGAATAACCGTATAAAATGATCTTGGGAAGCAATAGCCCCCTGTTTACTTCGCTTTCGCCGCAACTGATGCAGGCTCTTCGGAGCCGTTGCAACCTGCTCTCGGTGCCACCAGAAGACCTTGCGTCCGTGTGCGCTTCACACCCTGCACTATAGGTAAAACCATTGCCACTGCGTCCTTTACCCTAACATCTATGTTGACAAGTCCAACCCTTCAAAACCGGAACGCCGTAATACTCACATCTATAAATTACAATGACTTCGATAGGGGCTCCAGCTCAAA